CCCAGACTGTTAGTCTTGGGGGACTTCAACATCCCGCTTGAGACCAGTATAACAGGTGCGGCTTGGGAGTTCATGGCGACCATGACAAACATGGGCCTATCCCAATTGGTCAACGGCCCACGCATTGTGCGGGTCATACACTTGATGCGGTCTTCAGTATGGAACAGGAATATCCATGGGCGGAGGTGGTAAGTACCTCCGCATTGTCATGGACGGATCATTTCCTGGTCAAGATGGAGCTTAGAGCCAATATCTGCCCCGCCAGGGGTGGTGGACTGATTAGAATGGTCCACCCTCGAAGGCTAATGGAGCCCATTGGATTCCGGAAAGCCTTGGAGGGTTCATTGGTTGGGAATGCCGGTGATCCTGTCGATGCTCTGGTTAATACTTGAAACATCGATCTTACCAGAGCTATCGACACAATCACTCCCAAGCATCCTTGCCAACCCGCTTCGAACCATAGACCTTGGTTCACTCCAGAGCTCAGGAGAATGAAGCAGTTTGGACAATGACTAGAGCGCGAGTGGCAGAAGACTCGACTCTTATCTGACAGAACTCGCCATAGGAATTTTCTTAGTTCCTATCGGGAGGTAATGCATGCAATGAGAAAAGCTTTCTCCTCTGCACGTATTGCGTCTGCAGAGACTCGTCCGGCAGAGCTCTTTAGGGTGGTAAGGGAGATGACGCAGGTTCCCCCTGCACCAAATCTCTTGCTTAACCCAACAACGGCCTGCTGTGACATGTTTAATAACTACTTTGCAGATAAAATCTCTCAGATAAGAGCCGACTTAGACGCCACTATTATAACAGAGTCATTAGTTGAGGCGTCCAGCGACTCCACCGATGTGGTTTTACTGGATCAGCTCCAATCTGTGGGTCCCAAGGACGTGGACAAGCTGCTTGGTAAGGTGAGGAAGACGACTTGCCCTCTCAACCCTTGCCCATCATGGCTGGCCGACTAGGGGGGGGATGCATTGGTGAGATTCCTCACGGATATCATCAATGCATACTTCAGGGAAGGACATGTTCCATCTTGTTTAAAGGAAGCGGCTGAAAAAACCTTCCCTGGACCCCCTGGATATGAAAAATTACAGGCCTGTGTCATTGCTGCCATTCATGAGCAAGGTAATCGAGAAGGCGGTTGCTCTTCAGCTCCAGGCAGTCTTGGATGAAACTGATTATCTAGACCCATTTCAAACCGGCTTTAGGACTGGCTTTGGGGTTGAGACAGCCATGGTTGCCTTGGCCGACGATCTGTGTCTGAGCATCGACAGGGGTAGTGTGATCCTGTTGGTGCTCTTAGACCTCTCAGCGGCTTTCGATACAATAGATCACAGCATCCTCTTGGGCCGCCTGAGAGGTTAGTTATCAGAGGTACTGCTTTGCAGTGGTTCCGGTCCTTCCTCTTGGGTCGGTCCCAGAGG